AAATCTCCTTTGAAAACGATGATTCGTAAAGTTAACTTAGTCGAATGTAGAACTAAACACCATGTTTCGATGATAAACAATTCGTCGATAAAACTGATTTTTTTATGAACAATAAGTTAGAAAGCCATGATTGTACTTTACAGCATAAAATGATGAATCACATGTATGCAGTGGTTCAATATCTATTATTATTCCATGATGTAAGATACAATGAAAATGAATCAAAAATTTCACAAATACTACTTGACTACTTTACTAACAGCACTATCTTACCGTAACCTTCTAAAAACACCGTTCTAATATCTTCTTCTGTTAGCAGAAGATTATTATCTTCAATCCAACCGTATAAGAATTCATTTTGAGCAATTGATTTTTCATGAATTTCTGAATCAATATTATTATTATTATTCATTAGGATAGTATCTATAAGCTTATCCTTTATAAATCTACATTTACTGTGCTTGATTTTGTTTTAAAATAATTCACGTTAAGTTAGTTCATGCCACTGTTTCACTAAACAATATATATAATACGTTTTTTTAATTTCATTTGTAAAATGAGAAAACTCGTCAGTTGCACTATTTGTTTGACCTTGTCACTATGGTAATACAATTCAATTTTCACTCATATTCAACATTCGAATTGTATTTCGCTTTAAATTCGAAAAAAATAATAAATTTCATTCACTATCTAATATTGTGAATTGAGAATTTAATTGAATAAATGGTAAAAATCAACCACAAATAAGTAGAAATTTTGTTTTTAGATTGTTCCCTAGAAATCGATTTCTGACTTAGTTTGTAGATAATATTTTAAAACAATTAATTTTTAAGTATGTTCATATTTCTTTGTAATATTGAATAATGAATTACTTCATCAGTTTTTTTAACATAGATCAAAGTACCCGGTTAAGTATGAATGCTATTTATATTATACCTACGGGGTATATGTGCCGCTCCCTCATAAACTCACCTAGATGAATAAATAACAGTGTATTCGCCTATTCTTATCACTGAATAAATATACTATTTCACCCAGTTAAGTATCATACGCTTTTTGTTCACAATCTGTCGGAATATGTGAAATATACAAGTAAAATGAATTAAAAACTTGTGTTATATCCACACCGTTTATTACTTATACTTGAAAAGAAAGAAAAACCAGAAACCACTGCAATTTCCATGAATCGAAGTAAGAATACCAAGACTTGTACAAATGAAGATTTATAAACCCCCAAAATAAGATGACTTTAGTCAAAAATACACTCATTTATATATTGATTATATACTCATTTCAATTATTAATTAGAATAGAAGTCATATATATGAAAAATGACCAGAGTTATAATCAATCATGCGGAACATGGTTCGTATTAAATTAATACAATGAATATTATATCTTGACTAAAATATCACACTAAAAATAAAACAACTATTCCATTGAGTAATTAATATATTAGATTAAAAACTGAAGTAATATTGAATAAGAATTGCAATGAATGTAATTTTACCTTTTAATCCTATCATATCAACTTCATTTGTGCTGAACTCTTCTAATACCATCGTATTCAACTCTCCAATACTAATATCAATGCATGTGTGAGTTGGTGATATCATTACAGAGTTTCGATGTATTGCGATTAAAATACTGTTTCACAATAATATAAATGTTCACTAGATATCCCAACAATGAGCAAATTAATATGATCATGATGAATCAATATACAAAATCTATGAAGAGTTTACATACAAAATAGTTTTAACGGAACAATGTAATGTATATGAGAATCAATAATTACTTACAAAAGTTAAAAATTACTAGAGAGGCTTTCTGAAGTTAATTTTTATAATTTCACGTTTACTACAAGATCAATAAACATTAGACAGACTTTTCATGATGCCCTGAGATACACCTTTATCATGTGACCATGAAGAATGAGGTATTTTAATGGAAGGATTAAAACTGAAATATAAACAATTGAACTCCCTAATATTCAAAAGATATCGTGTTTGTTGATAAATATGTTTTTATTAAAAACATTTTGATTTTAACAGTTTATGAAGGAATGTTTTTAAGGAAACTTTAAGAGGATGAGTCTAACCTAATCAGTGATCATCCATGTTTTTAGTACAAATAAAAATCGAATGAACTGAATCATTCGAAACACAGCCAGGTAATTCAATGATCATTACGATTAACAATGACGAATGTAATTGAAAAAGGAAACTTTACTAACTACAAAATTCTAACTTCAACATATACCTTCCTTATTCATCTTAAATTGAATTATCTATCAACAGTAAATAAATTTGTTCTGTAGACAAGTGTTTTTGATTATGAAAACAATTCTCTATCTAATAGTTTACTTATTCATTCAATTTCTGCCAGTTTATGTCTATTTAACTGATAAATGGCTGTACACAGGAACACGATGTCAACAATTCTATGCGTTCAGTATCCTGAATAACTCTTACTTGTCATTACTAATGATGTTACCAATAATATAGGGATTTTACTGATGTTACTGACTTTCTTTTGATTCTCTGATCAAAATTTACATCTCCATGTTGAAAATTATGGTAAATATAATTACAAATCATCTATATGCTTCATTTCAAACGAAAAGTTGTTTTATATATATATGGTTTCAAACCTTATTATATGTAGAAGGGCTGGATGATGGTAATAAATATTGATTAGTAAGATGTACATTCCCTTTATATGGGGAATTCGTTAATGTTACTTTTCCTAACAATAATCGAAACTAAAAATATCTCCTTCGAATTCCAAAGCACCAGCCATCAAAACAACAAGATTGCTTAGAAAATTCTCCTTTCGGATATTTTACTCTAAAGCCTATTATATATATATATATATATATATATATATATATATATATATAAGAGAGAGAGAGAGAGAGAGAGATAAAGAAAACGTTAACAGTTGGCTACGATAGAAATTATTAAATAAGTAGTATGATACCTTGGTGCATCACGTTTGATATTAATTATCGGTAAACGATTATCAAGTATTAGTAAGCTGTAGGCTTTATGTTTATTAGCAGCCATTAATGTTTTCTACCTAAACTCGCAAACTACTAAATGGTTTATCAAATACTTTGTCAGTGATGCTACAATCAGAATTTTCATAAGTAAGATACAGGTATTATGATATAGTGAAGCAAATATTTGTTGTCAATGTTTTGAAAGACGACAGTTTATCCGGTCGACCAGATACAAACAAATGTACTCATATTTCAAAATATATTGGTCGGATGGGTACATATTCATCATACATGATATTCTTACTCATGGCAACATTCAATGTATTTTGTATTCAGAAACATAATATGTCTGATCGAACATTTAAAAAATAGCAGACAAACAACAAAATTGCAAACAAACAACTCGCGTATTACAAAGACCTTTCATAAATGACAAGCGAGTTCATTGTTAGGCCGTTGGTGGAAACCTTCGAGGAATATACGATGTAATTCCTTTCACTCATTGAAAAAAAGTGCGCCTTTATACCATATTTTTTAAGACTGTAATCCACCTATTTATCACCTTGAATACAAGCAGTAATGAGGTATGGTTTGGCCTTAAAAAGTGATCGGTCGGCTGTAGAGTTGCCAAATACTAACATTATGGGGAAACTTGACAAATGAAGTAAACTTCAGCCTGCAGGGAAATATGAGTTTCCTCGAGGTAACATACCGTAATCAGCGTAATTCATATCATTCTATATTAAAATAATTGTTGAGGATCATTTGTGAAAACCAAGTTATCACAAAAATGGTGATTGTTCGGTTACGATTATATATTTCGACACATTGATTTCGTCATATTCTAATATAAAATTATCAGTGAACATTATCTATTACTAGGACAGCGAATTGCTGGATAACATTATTACTAACTCTTATTAGAAGGAACTGTATCTAAATAATTATTCGTCATCGTTTCACTTCTCAGGTATATTTCTGTTACAAATAGAGACTTAATCCCAATATCTTTAAATTTCCCTCTGTTCTTACGTCAAATGGGAACCTAGGTTACGATATCAAATATTAATGATCCGAATATATATATGAAATTAAAATGTGGTATTGTGGTGTGGTTTACTTATATCCATATAGATAGTATATAAAGGTGGTCAGGTATAGAGTGTATTTCAGTAGAAAATCAATAAGAACAGGACGGAAACGGAACGCAATTGGTATGAAAAGTCATAAACAATGAAATGTGAGACAGTGGACTGATATTTACGAAAGGAAGTTTGATATGATGGATTGATATTTTGCAAATTAACGATTTAATATGTGGTTCCCAGATTTTATTGAGATGCTCTATAATTTCGTATCAAATACATTTGATTGTCCCCATTAATGTTCTGTTCACTACAATAAATATCGATCTAGTATTGATTATTTTTTTCAAGATTCCTACTACGTTCTCAATTAACATTAAAATGTACAATATTTTCAAATCAATAAACAAGCTAAATAACTTTTATAGGATTTCTTAAATTGTAAATATTGATTCATAATAACAATTACAATATAATATCTGCAATCATTTAGTAAGTAATTTTTTATTAATCAATAAAAGTAACATTAAATGTACTTTCATCGGTATTTTATTCGTGTATGATCTAGTTATTTCGTTTCATAGAATATAATACGATAATAACATATAACAAAATAATAATGAAAAAACTGAGTATACAGTAATAATAATTATTATTATATTGTTTTGTAATGTATACATTAATAGCTATATTTGGTATTATGATTATATATTATTACTATAATTCTATGTCTACAATAAACTAAATAAGTAAATTAATAAGAAAATAATACTACTTAAATAATAAAGAGATAATATGAGAGAAAAATATGGAAGGAAAAATAAAATAAGCAATGAAAGAATAGATTAGAAGTTTAGAAAATGTTCTTACATATAAATAGATTATTATATCTAAACATTAAGCAAATACAATTAACATCTAAAAAATTCTGGAAATTGTATATCTAATATAGAAATCTTTTTATAAATGGTTTTTTTCCATGATGAATTCACATCACGTTCATTTAAAATTGCATCAGCAAATTCCCATACTGTAATTTGAATAGCTTCAAGAAATTCTTTTGGAGTCTATAATAATAATAATAATAGACAATATTTCAATTAATGTTATTTAGTTGTTCATTAGTCTATAAATGAAACAATATAGTTAACGGCCAAGCGGACAAAAGTACATCTTATACACTTAAAAAGTTATGAGTCGTAAATAAATGGGAACGTATCGTTTAATGTTACAAATAATTACGTATGCTCACTAGTGACTAGTTTCGTGAGAGAATTCTCGAAGTTCTAGCGAGAAGTCGTGAACAGTGGAGCTAATCCGTGTCAGATAGAGACAGATATCTACAGCAACATAATGAAAGATGGTCACGCAATTTCGTGGATTGGTTGAGGCTAGACATTTACACGGTTGAATTTTAGCCAGCTCAGTGGTGTAGGCCCATGGTTCGAATCTCGCAAGCGGAGTCGTGGATATACACTATTGAGGAGTCCCACAATAGGACGAAACGGCCGTCCAATGCTTCCAGGTATTCAAAAGTGGTCAAACATCAATCGATTGATGATCTCAATCAAAAACTTAATAACCTTCACGACCCCATACTGATAATTATAGTACATATATTAGACATTGTTACACAAACGAAATAGCTCATTAATATTTGACTAGATTCAATTTTGAGATGGCATTGTTTACAAAACTATGAGGATGGGGTTTCATGATCTGTGGTACAGGATTGCATTGACAATTAGTACCATATAATACTTTAAATTACGAAAAAGTAAAACGATCTTAAAACTTACTTCAATTTCATCTCCTTTATTAAAATGTGTTTCCATGCTACGTATTAATTCATGTTCACGTGATAGTCTAATATCATCTGCTTTTTTTAAACCGGTTGCTTTCTGTTGACGAACAAATTTTTCAATCTGTATGTAAAAAAACTCTCTACACACAAAATAGTGAGGAAGAGGGGAGACAGATTAAACATATGGATGATCAAATCATTACTTAATTAACTTACATAATATATTACATTGTGTTGTTAAAGTAGCCCTATAGAATTTCTTAGATGTCGTTATGCCTGATAACATAAAGCTGATGAAAGGTCCATTTTCTCCAGGTAGAAATATGTTTACTAACTCAAACTATAAGCTTTTTAAATTGAAAGGAATCCATAGAGCATAGCGTATTAACAAAGAAATGTTCATTTCCTAAATAATTCACTTACTAAGCAAAAATGATGAAACTTGATTATGTATTTTCTAGTTTAGTTGCATTACATTCAAATATTGTGGTAAAAAAACTCACATTATCTACTATATGCATGTTGATTCTTCCGCATTCCTACTACATGTAATTATAGAAAAATAAAACGCAAACCACGTACACAAGTAATTATCTTCGTATCTTCATACATATAACACATGCTGAATTAATAGTTAACATCTACACAATTAACAAAATAGCGTACACAAAGAGACACATACGAAAGCAAAATATGAACAAGACATTTACACATGCAACTTGAGGAATGATTAAATCTCACCCACTTTGTGCAGACCGATTCGACTATGTTCTTTCCTCATTTTCTCCATCCTCCAACTGATGTTAGAGAACAGTGAATTCGATTATATGAACATTGTATAATCGGAGGTATTGTGCATTCATGTATAGATATTTACGATTAAGATATTTATTGTATAAAATCTTACCGGAAATTACTAAACCATTTTACCAATTGTGCAGTAGATCCACGATTAAAACAAACTTCTGGAAAATATGACTTCAGTAGACTTGATGTTGGATAACGAGAATACATGAACATCATTTTAGCTTTTTTTAAATGAGCTGCACTCAGTGTTGCTGTCTAAATAAGTAAACAAAACAATATATTTATCGTATTTGCTTTATTCGATTTAAATGAAACAAGAATAATGAAATTTTTTTTAGTTTCATCGAAATAAATGGCATGTATATAACTAAAATAGTATTCGGTGAGTTACGAGAAATTAATAGTATTCCGGAAATCTTGTTCTTCTTAATATGTTATAAATCTATTAATATTTACTATGTATGTGAAATGATCTAAAATGTGTTTCACCTATTCGATAGTCATTTTGCTTTGTGAGTCTTCTACAAGCTACCGAAATCTCAATAAATACATATATAACTATCTGATTATTTCACTCTAAAGCTTGAAGGTCTTGATTTCTATCCTTGACAGGATTGTGGATATACAGAGCTGGTAAATCTGAAACTAAAACGAAAAATCTTCCAAGTCCTTCCTGGTTCCTAATAACTGTTTAGTTTATAATGTAGACTATAAAATAACAAATTATATATAAATTCTGTCATAAATGAGAAGCCTCAAATTAATTCGTTTTATTATTACTCTGTTCAATAGTAAATCAGTATTTTTCACCAACTTACTCTAGTTTGACTATTAATTATTGATCTTTTCAAACGTGTTTGACAACAATTACTTGATTGATTGTCTGATGAAATAATTTGTTCTGTTTTATTATTATTATTATTATCTTCATGGTCATTTTGATGAATTCTTAAATCTAACGATTCATCTAAATGAGGAATTTTATTTTGAGGTTCTTCTACATCATTATTTAACTGACGCTTGTTACAATCTGGCGACAGTCTATTTAACTTGGTTTGATTCCTATCAACAAATAATTGACTATTAAATTGATGAATTCTTAATCGACGTGTTTTATTATTATTATAACGTAATGGTTTTATTCTTGTTGAATAAGTGGATGATTCTTTTGATGTTATGGTTGTACACTTTGAATTAGTAGATTTTTGTTCAGATGATACAATATCACTAGGAACAAACTCAACTTCAGTTGATGGATTCTGATTGGATTGATTACTATTAACATTTTCCAATTCTATATCATTATTACTTTTTGTAAATTTTAAATTAAGTGGAGTCACATTACAATCTTGCATACAATCTAATTGTACAGATTTCATTGAATTACAATAATTTAATATTGTCGATGAATTATACCAATCTTTAAAATGATAATTTTGTAAATATGTTTCTAATTGATGCATACTATTATCAATAAGTCGAATCATTTCACGACGAACTTGATTAAGAATTTGATTACATATTTGATTACGACTTTCAATTGATTGATTAATATCTATATTATTATTATTATTATTATTATTATTATCATTTTTAATAGTTTTATTAATCTTTTCAAATTGTTTTGAATAATTCAATTGATCATTGAATGATTGTTTATTATTTTGATATTGTAAATTGTTTATATTAGTTGAAGATAATAATTTTGTACAATTTAAATCTTGTTGACTTAAATTAATACATTCATTATTAGATGGATAATTGTAATTTCCATATTTTATATTAGATTGTAATAATGAATGATATTTATCATTAAATTCTTTATAATATGATATTTGTGATTTATTATTCTCTTCATTCATTCCTAAAATATTTCTATTATGTAAATGTCTATTACAAGAATAATTTGGAATTAGACGAGCTTGATTTAGTAATTCTAATGCAACAATTTCTAGTTTTTCTTTTTGATTAATAGAATTATGAATACATCCAATAGATCCATAATCTTTATATTGATTTATTACTTCAGATGTTGATAAATTATTTGAGAAACCAGTTGGAGTTGAACCAGATCCAACTGATGAATATCCTTCATCTGATAATGGAATATAAAGAGGTGTTGTTTTATCATTGGTTAATAGATCTTTATATCCTGTAAAACTTGATGATATTGGATGAAATACTGGATAAGGATTAGACTGAGATAATGGTGTAGAATGAATGTATTTTCCTTCTAAACCATTTATTCTAGGTTTTAGATATTCAGGAGTTTGAAAGTTTCTTTCATCTTCTGAATAACTTTCCATTTTAATCCTTTGTTTATTATATGTTTCTAAAAACGGAACAAAAAAAAATACGAGAATGCATTCATTGTACTTATAATTATTCTTTATATAGTTTTAAATACGTAATCAACAAATGCATAAATCAACTACCCTATACGTTATTCGAAAATATCTAGAAATGATTTGTTTAAATTCCTACTACTACAAAATTAATCATGATGAAATCTCAATCTCCCAATAAAGAACTATTCACAAGGGATAATGAATTAAAAATGATATTATATTTCAAGAAATTGGCCCAAAGTACAGTATACAAATCAATTGGCCAAATACGAAACATTATTTGTTACATAATCAATGTAATCAATGAATAATGATATATGCTCCACTATTAGTTACAGTTTTTCATATCAATAGATTCTTCCCAGTGTAGGTGAAGCTAAGTTTCGAATTATAATCTATTAGTTGAGTGTCACAATGGCATAGGTGTATACACTCTCTGTCTTCCCTTAAACTGTGAGCCTAAAATTATTTCATACGTACTAAATCTTTCTTCCTGTACTATATCCTTATATGCAATCTTTCCTTCATATATTAGACCAGTAAGCTGATTGCTTCTATGAATTTGTTCACCTTGCTGTGCTAATGAGGTGTGGCAACTTGGACCGATGCACATATGTGCCTGGTCCTACGTTGTAACTGACTGACCGATTGACTGAGTTGAGTGTCAATAATTTAAACCACTAAACTACAATTCTTTCAAAAGTAAAATATGATTTATAATGAAATGTCTGAATTACGATTTTAAAAAAAGCTAACATTTTAAAATAACATGTTTCCTGTTATTATTTGTGAGAAAGTTTTTACTTAGCTCACAGTGAACCTAAGATTATTATTTATATAATCTTTAGATTATCCAACCTATCATCAATCTAATCTATTTCAAATGAACTACAAGTAAGTAGTAATACTATGTAAGCATTTCCTTATTCTATATATATGATACATTGCATTAAATGAAACATACGGCTAGTAGATTAATTTAGTGAAAGTAAAAGAAATTTCTCTGGTATTACTTAATTAATTCAAAAGTGGGGTTTTATTAAATGAATTAAAAACTCACTCATCTCATTAAGATACTTATAACTAAGAGTATCGATGGAACTTAAGTAGATTCATTAACACTAATGTTCTCGAATAACTTGTTTATATATTATTTAATCAATAACGATATTCATTAAATCTTTCCTATAATCATTTCATCTCTCTCCCTCTCTCTCTAGAGAAAAAAAAATGCGAAATAATAACTGAATCAAAAAGTCTAAGAAAAGAAGTGAAAGCACCCAGTTCCTATCGTTATGCACACAGGTATACCCATCGTTGTCACAAAAAAATAGTAACAAAAGAATGATCTTATGAAACACTACAAAACCTTATTCTTCATAGCGTCTCACTTCTACTATCATGTCCAGATTTCTGCCGGTGCTACAAATCACAAATACAATATTTCAGAACCATTTAAAATTGAAATGCCATCTAACTGAGCATAGATACTGGGCTCGGTTACCATGAAATTTAACATGGAAATCGGCATATTGCTAAAATACAATTTACAATCCAATAACTTATACTACATGAAATCATATATAACACACAAATAACATTTATTGGTTTTTCATTTTGAAAGATCAATATTAATCAGAAAAAATTGCTTTTACTTAATTGAAAGTTTATACTCTGTGGATAAACCTAGAACCTTCTTCATAGAAATTTAATACTAAAGAGTAATGAGAAAGCAAAAGTCATAATGAATTAACCAAAACATTTATATAAATATCTAACTTACTTGAAAAGTTGAATTTGACAAGTTGTTTGGTGAAATTAGCTATCTAACACTAGGTGATCTATTTGTTATTGTATCACCGATATATATTGTCAACTTCTCGTGAAATAGTTTAATAGTTTGAAAACAAAGTAGTATTGAATGTGGATATAAACTTTCAAACACTAAGCTTTTTTTTAAAAAAAAGGTAAATATTCACTATATTTAAGCCTATTTATACATTTTCCTGCTCATCTCTTTCAACTGGTTTCATCCTCTCACATATAAATCTACCAATCCCAAAAGAAGATTAAATTGACACGAGTACACATCTTACTTTTTCTTATTCAAATCTTAGTTGCTGGGGTTTATGAAACACTGGTACACTAATAATTACTATTATCATTATTATTGTTATTACTATTATGAAATTAAAAGTAGACAAATATATTCTGACTTTTATGTTTTACTCATAATTCATGCTCAATTTCTTATTCTGTTTTAAGTGAAGATGCTGGTTCACCAGTCAGCTTTTTTTAAGCACTACATTTTTTCAAATTTTCTCCTCATTCTATGTATAAAACTTTCATTATTCAGGGAATAGATTGGCTACATGTTGTTCTTTTCCCTCACCCTACTTTTTCATTTTTAATTTTCTAACACCATTCATTTGTTTGTAACCCAATAAATACACACATATAGTTCCTCTCTCGTCTACACCCCCTCCTAAAATATTTATATACATATAACTAAAGGCTTGGACTTTGTAACCACGTGCATTTGACCTGTAAATATAAACAAATATCATATGATCAAGATTATGCTGAAAAATCAGAAAAATAAGACGTTAAAAACAATTTTGACAAAGGGCAACCCCTTCCATTTTCTCTTCAAGCATGCATGCGAACATATATATATATATATATATATATATATATATATATAATCCATTCATACCCACTTTTTACTTTATTAAATCTCTTAGACAGTTAAACAATGTTATGAAAAGGGTGCCCTGGTATCATCATCAAAAAGAAAAGGGGAATTATGAAGAGGAAAAAAATTAGCAAACAAACTAATTATATGCTGGTGCCACGTTCTCTTTTCTCCATAAAAATCAAGTCAAATATGACAGTAAAATAGTAATAACAACATTAAGAACTTCTATTATATTGATACTAATAGCAGGTTAGACAATACATAAATTAACCTAAGGCTAAATTATAAGAATTAATGAAGAGAATCAACTATTGGGAAGAAACTTACCCCTAATAACAGGGTATCTTTTGCCTCAATATTTTATTGGCATTTTTACTGCCCATTTAAGTAGGGAATACGCCTTCAAGCTCAATCACTTCTATGCATATCTGTAAATTTAATTACCTCCGAGAACTAGCGACTAGTCAAATTCACTAACACACTTCCGAGTATTTACAAATTGACTAGGCGATAAATCTAACAAATCCAGAAAAAAAGTATTCTTTAATTTAGGGCATAGGAAGCACTAGATATACAAAAGATCAGTATTGATTATCATTTGAGTAGATTCACTGAAGTCTTTAAGGTTAGAACATTTTGGTTTACTAGTCGTATGATAATTAAAAATTAACATAATCCAATATCAGTACGGGGTTGAGGGGATTATTAAGTTTTTGATCAATCTCATGATTCGATTGATTTTAGACCACCATTGAAAATCTGGAAGCACTGGACGGCCGTTTCGTCCTATTATGAGACTCCCCAGTAGTGCACATCCAGGATTATTTTTTGCGTGATTCGAACCCAGGACCTTTGAACATTCGCGAACGCTTAACCTCGGTATATATTGAAGGCTTTGTAAGATATATGATCACTAAACTATTATAAGAGGTCAAATTAATTGCAGAACTTAGCATAGAGCTGCCACCTCTAATCACAAGAAGATTCAGTAGAGACAGCAAACCGAAATATCACACTACCAGAAAATATTCTTAAAACGAACTCATAACATAATAGTAACTCTGCTGACGAAGTACTTAGTAAATTGATTGCCAATACCTCCAAGTTTTATGCTTTTTGTAATCAACTTGTGTATTTATAGAAAAATGCCGTTTTCATTGTCTGATAATATGCTTATCTATTTAGTACAATACATATCAATTATACTTAGTACCACTTCAATTAAAGATATTTAAGTACACTATTTTGTTCGATTAATTAGGAAAACAAAGTCTTGTGAACTTTGAACATCTTAAGACACTTGACTGTTGAAAATATTCAACAACGTTCGAATATGTCGTATAAGTCATCTTTGTATGGTTAAATCGTAGAATATACATGATCCTAACACACATTCCCTGAATACAATTCTTATTAGTTTAAGAATAATTCATTTAATAAGCTAGTTTTAACTGAAAAAAATTAGTAGATAGGAATCGTGGAATAATTTTTCCTATCTTTGCATTAAATGAAGTTGCGATCAATGGTTTAACTCAACAAATTACAAATTCAAATAGCTTTATGATTCCTTTTTCTGTGTATGTAGTTGTTATTCCTAAAATTCACACAATGCGTATCACTTTGGACCTAATACATGAACATAAATTTGGTTATGAAGTAATGTTTACCATATTTAGACTATTATTAAGCTATCAGCACGGCAGACTTATACGCTAACTATTGGATGGGAAAAGTTAAGAGGCTAGCCAGCTACTCATGAACAACTAGACAAAATTCCAATGATCACAACATGAAACCTGAATCAGATCTTTAATACATAAAGTTATCATTTGATACTATATTAAATTGCTTCAATTGACATTTAGTTGGTCTCGGAAATTAAAACATTCTTTAGAACTATATTTAATATGAAGTGAAATTTCACTTGAAGAGTTATTCATATTACTAAGCTAATCTCAATCGAACAATCGAAGAAAACCACAAATTTATGATACAATGGATCTTCTTACATAAATCTTAAAATATTAGCTATGTGGAATTGTTCATACTACAAGCCTTATTTGATAAACCAAAGATTAGTGACAGTATATAATCAAATTTCATCTGATCCCTACATCATTTATGTAACTATCACAGTAACCAATTTTCGAAGTGTGTATGTCTTCATTATAAATCTTTAGAAATTCAATTAAACTCATAGGTATTTAAGGAATTATTGTTTATTGTTACTAACTGACTATTATCAATCTTATCTTTGATT